GAGAGAGAGAGAGAGAGAGAGAGAGAGAGAGAGAGAGAGAGAGAGAGAGAGAGAGAGAAAGAGAGAGAGATCACCGCAGCGGATGCTGCTGCTGCCGTGCCATGCGTTGCACGCAACAAGCGGGTCCAAATCGACGACTCCGTGGAGGTGGTACAGAACAGCAAAAATCATCAGCAGTCTCCCTGTGTGATCGCTCGCGATCATGTGTTCTCGCTTTGGTTCAGAGCTAGGCACCCTGAAATCTACAGCAGTGTATGACCCAGCAGATACGTACATGTTTTGTAGACGGACAACGTGAGCCACCACGTAAACTTGAAGAATGAAACTGTATGTTCCACAGCAGCAGGCATGGGGGGCAAGGGGGGGTAGTGCCAGGCGCCCACGAACCTCTCGTGCGTGCCACTGGCACAGCAGCAGTAAACGGCCGTTTGCGGGCCGGTCTGCCTGTGTCAAACGTACTCGGCCATCCGCTAGTCAACCCTTGTAGGCAAAGCTCCGCCGTATATCCTCTAAATTACGGTACAGCTACTGCTGGCAGCACACACGAAAGAGAGCACGCCACGGTGGCTGCAATTGCCAAATCCAGTGCAGTACTGCTGCACACAGGGGAGAGCCGCGACGTGCGCGTGTGCGGTGGGTAGAGACAGACGAGGAGAGCTTGCCTGCCTCTGTGTGCGGTCTCTGGTACCTCCTCTTTCAAAGAAGTAGTCCCTTCAACTTACCTCATTGACCATCTCTCGGGTGTCATCTGTCAGGGAGAATAGCGTAGTTGTTTCAGGCACCGTGTCCGTCATTGCCGCCATGTCTCCTGCTGCTGTGCGAGAGAAAGAGAGGGTTTTGGTACGAATGTGAGAAGCCAGCAGCCGGTCACTCCGCACGCTTTCGGGGGAACAGGGGGTTTGCAAAAAAGTGGCGTGTGTTTGAAACCGTCTCGATTTTTTTCAAACACTCGACGATTCGACGAGACGCTCAGCACCGACACTCCGAGACTATATATGGAAACTCCTATCAATTCCATGAATAGCTGCCTTTCGACCGGGGTCGCAACGTCTGTGTTGTCATAATTGGGTCTCTTATTCATAGTTCTATTTAATTGGGGCAGCAGGCGGCGTAGTTTTGTATAATAATTGAGTTTAGCGATTCTGCAGTTTGTCCGTATGATCGCTGTGGTCATGCGTTCCATCCTGTGTTCCCCGGTCGAAACTAGTAGCAGGTGCTGCTGCTGGTCGCAAAGTGTCCAAGACCACGGTTGTTCATCCTCGCATCGTTGACGAGTTCGAGACCGACGGCGGCGACACCTCTCGAGCCCGGAAAATTGTGCCAAGGGCAACGGCCTCCCGATGGAAAAAAACGAACTGCACAAGGCAGTCGCCAGGTAGTAACTTATTCTCGAATCCTGTGGCCTCTGTACATTTGGCAGTCTCTCCTCGAGCAAGCGTTTGTTTTCCCCATTCTGCTGGAGGAAAGGAAGTACCTGATATGTAGTGAGAGCAGGGTGCAGCAATTCCCGTATTCTTAGAAAGTAAACAATTCCCGTATTCTACAACGCTGTTTTTCGGTTCAGCACCAAAATCGCTGACGTTTCTTCTTTTGTATCGCCCGACCCCGCGCATCGCAGAGTCACGGGCATGACGGTATAGAGTTCGTACAAGAAGCTCGTGGCAAACCTCCCTCTGTCGACGTGTGCTCGCGCGACGTCGCAGAGAGATACTTCGATTTCGACAACTATGCTGGCGGTGACCACGTCCGTCCGCAGTAAGAACTCTTGGAGAGCAGAAGGCAGGGGCAGTGATGATAGTGACGGCAGCGACGACGCCGCCGCCGCCGCCGCGGCCGCCGACGGGATGGCTACTGGCGGCACGGAGACGGAGGACACACATAGGTGTGGTGCTCTTGCTGTTTGCCTTGTGCAGTCCGTTCGGTTCGTTCGACTTGGCGTTCCACAGTGGCCGTAGAATGAAGCACATGGTGTTCGTTGCTGGTGGATACCGGTGCCATGGTGCTTTTAAATGCGCCTCCTGCTTCGCGAAACAGGAACCCGTCGAGCGGTGGCGCGGTTGACAGCGCCGACGTTTCTCAGTACCACTGGCAGTATCATATGAAACATATATTAAAATGTTTTTTTTTCCGGCATCTCGGAAATGTGATAGCTTTTGTCGCTCAATTGCAGTCCTCAATCGATACGACTGCTGTGCGGGACGAAATTGGCAGTAACATTAAGTTGGATACAAGGGCATCTCCACTCCATTCCAAATCCTTTGAGCCAATCGATGATACCGTCCCCGTTTTGGTTCTACCTGTACGTTTGCACGAAGGAGGAGTACGCGTCGATCGCCAAGTGCAACCAACCGCGGGCGACGGGTTGTGTCTCGCGCTACTGTTTGGTGGAGGACGTCTTCCGAAGCCGGCGAAGAAACGACTGGCGTGATTCTCCGATTCGCTGGCATCTATTTTCGATACACCCCGACGTCGCGGTGGCGTTGCTTTTGGATTTGGTATTGATGGCTTTTCGTACCTGCGTATATGTTTTTAGAACGCAACAATGGTTGCGTTTGGTTGCGTTTGACCTGACGACGGCATGCACTTATCGTGTGGCGTTCGCAAGCATAAGGTCTTCTTGTAATTGTTCAAAACGCGCCAACCCAGTCGTGAACACAAAACGTTTCTGGCTGCAAGGGTTTTCCTTGTGGGGCAGAACAACGTTTTATGATTGGGGCGCAATCTGGCGAC